TCTAGGCCATTAGGTCATTTAATAGCTGGTGCGTTCCAGGCTATGCCGGAAGGGCTGGGCCGGACCCATTTATTTGAGCATAAGATCAGGGTAAAAGCAGGAGTTGAACCTGTAAAACAGAGGTATTACCCTGTGTCTCCCGTCATACAGCCGCGTATGGACGAGGAGATTAAGGAAATGCTCGATAAAGGGGTGATAGAGAAATCGCATAGTCCTTGGGCGTCTCCAGTAGTTATGATCAGGAAGAAAGACGGTACATATAGGTTTTGTGTAGACTATAGGGTTTTGAATAAATGTACCGCGAAAGATAGTTACCCACTTCCATATGTGCCGACGACTTTAGATAAGCTAAGGGACGCCAAGTTTCTGTCCAGTCTGGATATTAAGGTAGTGGACTATTTCCGTTTAAGAGGATATGGCATCCTCGGTTTGCAGAATGCATCGGCAACTTGGCAGAGATTTATAGATTCGGTCATAGGACCAGAGTTAGAACCTCATATTTTTGTGTATTTGGATGATATTATTATCGTCGCAAATAATTTTGAGAAACATTTAGAGATTTTGAAAGACCTTTTGAAGATTTTGCAGAATTAGTTAGGCCTCTCATCGATTTAACGAAGAAAAATTGAAAGTTCAATTGGACTGAAGATTGTGAAAGGAGTTTTAGAGAAGCGAAAGAGCGCTTGGTGACAGCTCCGGTTTTGAGTTGTCCGGATTTTGATAGGCCTTTCACAATCCAGACAGACGTGTCTGAGTAGATCATTGAATAAAGGCGAGCGTAATTATTCGAAGACCGAAAAGGAGTGTCTAGCGGTTCTGTGGGCGGCCATATGTTGAGGGCGCTAGGTTTACGGTCGTCACCGACCATAATTCACTTATTTGGTTGAATAAGTTGAAGGGTACGTGTGGTAGGTTAGCGAGATGGGCTTTGAAGCTTCAGCAACGTGATTTTGATATGGTGCATCGGAAAGGCAAGGAACATGTGGTCTCGGATATGCTATACCGTAGTGTACCAGTTATTGCTGAGGTGACTACTATCGATCCTTGGTTAGCAAGGATGATTCGGTTAGTCGAGAAAAAGCCTCTGTCGTATCCAGCGTGGAGAGTTGAAGGTGGCAACCTCTACAAGTTTGTTAGGTCGAGATTTGCTTCTGTGTATGGCGATTCGCCAGAGTGGAAAAAAGTAATAGGGCGTGATGGTAGAGGTGAGATTTTAAAACAATGTCACGACAATCCGTTAGCAGGCCATATGGGTGTGAAGAAGACTTTTGCGCAGGTTTCACAAAAGTTCTACTGGCCAAGGATGAAGTCGGATATTGCAAAGTACGTTAGGGCCTGCAAAACTTGTCAGCAGGTGAAGCCTGAAAATTCACAGCCAGCTGGGGGTATGATAGAGGGGACTAAGGCAGTCGCGCCTTGGGAAACGATTTGCGTGGATCTGGTAGGGCCTTAAGAGAAGTCGTCACAAGGCTACCAATATACTTCCACCGTAGTGGATTATTTTAATTTCCCCTCCTCTTCCCTTTGCGTACTGCCACGGCAAAAAACGTATGCAAACAATTGGGGAAAATGTATTTCTTTTGTTTGAAGTTCCTCGGTCGGTTGTGTGTGACAATGGACCCCAAGTTAGGAGTCGAGACCTTCGGGGCCTCTGCGGTGGCTATGGCGTCCAACTCCGGTACACCGCACACTATCACCCACAGGCTAACCCGACCGAGAGGATAGACCAAATTATTAAAACAACGCTTTGGGCTTACGTGTCAGAGAATCAGAGGACATGGGACCAACAGTTAGCTTGCTGCATTAGGACAGCGCAGTACGAAGTGTTAATAGTTACGCCATATTTTGTGAATTTTGATAGGGAAATGGCGCTAGAAGGCAGTAGGGACTTTATAGACAGTTTTGGAGATCAGAAGAAATTAAATTGTCAGGAGCAAGCAAAGTGGTTCGAGGAGATTAGGATCAACATTAGATCTAGGTTAGATCAGTCGAGTGAGAAGCTTACGAGGCAGTATAATCTCAGACGTCGAGATGTGCAGTACATGCCAGGAGAGTTAGTCTGGAGGAAAAATTTTATGCTGTCGGATGCAGCGAATTTTTATGCGGCGAAGTTAGCTCCAAACTATGTAAGGCCGTTTATTGTTAGGAAGAGAGTGTCACCGTGGACATACACACTGACAGTTGACTCAGGCAAAGACAAAGGGACTTGGAACGTAAAGGAGTTGAGGCCATTTAAGGATTAATCGGATCCGGTAGGAGATTTCCGTTCCCTGACCAAAAGGAAGGTTCCTTCCTTTTCGTTGAGCAAGGGGTGGAGTTGTCATGTACTGGCCGCAACAAAAACTTCTTTTGTGTTTATATGTTCATTTCCTTTGTTTTTCCTAAGCTTCCTTTCACTCCAAACGTTGACAGTGAAATCTGTCGGGAAATAGTTGCATTATTTGAAGCCATGGGCACGCCCTGTACCTTCTCGTTTTATTTACATTCTCTGGTTTTTATCAGTTATACATTTATTTTATATGGAAACTCTCATTATTGTACTCATTCTACTATTTTGAGCACAATTCTTCTAGTTTTCTGTTAAATTGTGGTGAACAGGGCTCATCTATATCTGGGGTAAAATGCACTCATAGAAAACTGGCGTCGACTGCAAAGGGGGGCACGCCCTGGACCTTCTCGTTGCATTTACATACTCTGCAAAAAGTGGCAAAAAATGAATGATAGTAAAAATGTAATCAAAGATGTGTATCTGCACTATTTTGGTTTGGCTGTAGCAATACTCGATAAGTAGTGAATCCCGAGATCCCAGTAAAAAGCCATTCAAGCCAGCGCTGAGAGGAGAACAAAAAAAATCATGTAGCTGATTCCTAATTTTTTGGAACCGCTGAAGCGACTTTCGGTCGAGCTCCTACAATTTCTACTAAGCCGCCTCCAAACAGCTAATGGTTTTTTTATGAACAGCTTTATTTCATGGCATTCATGCATTTCCACGTATCGACAATGTATAATTGCCAGTTTATACGGTTATAAATTCAAACATCGAGAAAATTTTGCGTTTGATTCGTGATTTGAATTTTTCCAAACGAATTTCAGAGTTGCTTGCACCACAGTTGAAGCTATGGAAATATATTGAACAAAGGGTACTATTCAAAAAAGAAGAAAAGATAACTAACGTTATTAGTCAAGTTGTTTACTAAATGTCATATGCGAAAATTACAGAAAGAGTTGATTGCCGGCATTGAGTTACATCCGATGAAACAGCAGCATTAGTATCTTTTCAAAATGCTTATTTATTCTATAACAATTGTATTTATATACAAAATCCGATTTTACATTGAAGCCTTACAATTATTAATCAAATCTCAAATTACAATACCTTTCTCTTAAGATGCGTTTGAGTGTTTGCGGTGGCCAAAGAGTTGGCAAAAGGGATTTGATTAATACGCATTTTTGATATGTATCTTTGTGTGGAATGCGAAAGCACTGTCCATCTTTATTTTCCATCTTTATGGAAACAGCCAGATATCAATTTGAAACTGTTCCATTGTGCACAGTATGCCTTTGAGGTTGGTTTTTCTGCTGACATTTGTTTCTTACTTGGGATCTCTAATAAGTCAAAAAATTTGATTTGTGGAAATGTTTGATGCGCAATAGTTTCTCTTTGCCTTTGCTCTTAACAATCTGTGAAAGAGATAACCATTAGTATATGAATTGCACTGGTATGGGTGCAGAGCTTAACCATTCTTTCAGATTTTGAAAGTTACCCCTTGGTTTTTTATTCCACTCGAAAGTTCTATTTTTGCTGGGATTCTCATTGAGGCACTTGGCAACGCTAGCGAATCATGTAAATTTCTAGCATTTTGGCCAATCCTTCTCTGATACTTCCTTCGCAGTGCTCACTCTCTTTGTCATTACCTGGTGGCCTAAGTTAATCACCTTCTTCTTAAATAATGAACACTTTTACGGTCTAGTGTTGGTAACGAACACCAGAGCATCACCCATCCTTAGCAAAGTATAACTGTCTTTCTTTGTAACATCATTTGGTCACCGACGCAGAACCGCAACGAGCTCCATGGACGGTTCTTTTACACTATTGTCGCTCATTTCTTTTGTTATTAAGCTCACACCTTAACGTTTTGCACAAATTAATATAATGTTTTACAACTTTGGATAGCAGAATGGTTAGCATTGCATTCTGCCATTCTGAAAACCAGGGCTCGAGCCGTGGTGTGAAAAACATCCAAGAAGGAGCTCGGCCGAAAATCGTTTCAGTGGTTACAAAGAACAATTATATAAATTGCGACTTCATAATTTACTTCTTCTACAACTTGATTGTCTTCACTAATTGCCGTCCTCAATTTTGTTGTAGGCAATTACATCTTTACGTTGCTTCCTATTCTATCAATATGCGAGACCGATACTATAGGGCATTCAATTCTAAGAGCCAATACTTGTTCATTTACTGACTGAGCAGATGGTGGTTCATCACCTCGACAAGGTTCGCTTTACAGGCTTGTGTATTTCTGGCTGGTAAGTAACAACATCGTTGTAAAATGAAAAGCTGTATAGTTAGCTAAGTGTTAAATAAAGCAAGTAGATATTTTTTGGGTAATACGTTGAGTAAATTCTTTATAATTAAGAAACGGGACGAAAAATTTGGTAACTTTTATTCAACAATCCAGTGGAAGCTGTTAAAACTTCTATAAATATCTCTACGGAATACTAGAAATTTGCTATTATTTTTTCGAATTTCACCCATTGATGTAAGTTTAAAGTTTTTTCGGGGATAATCCACAAAATTCAATTCGTTTATAAAAAGAAATAAGTAAGTTTTAAACATTTCCAATGTGTGTGAAAGCAACATAATGAACTAAAATCAATGGAATTATTAATATTGTGTGGCATCCTTAAGGCAGAAGTGTTAGAATGAGTACCTTATAGACTGATCTGAATAGTTGTCCTTTTCTAACGGCTATGTTAGGGATAATTGGTAAAGAAGTTTATCATTAGTTCAGGAAGGAAACAGTAGCAATAGTGACGGCAAGTAAAAGAGATTTTTATGATACGAGTAGTATAATTGAAGTGTGCGTTCAAAATAAAGTTGGAAAATCTTTTTCTAATATTACAAAGAAAAGCGCGACATAATCAATCAGCCAAGTAGGTAGTGTTAATGAGTGAAGTGGTTTAAGGGGGTCTGGATTTAATTGCGTTAATTTGTGAAAGGCCAAACAATAAAACATATATGTTTAAAAGATGCAAAGTATTAGCACTGAAATATACGCTCATGTACAACAGGCAATTGAGTGAGTGAGTGGTTCATGTTTGAAAGAGACGGCGCGCTTATGGTCAAATTAGTTTGCGTTATTTGTGATTGGCTTGCACCGCCTTAATTTCGAAAGTTTATTGAGGGGAATTCGGCAAGTTAGAAGCTTTCGCTCTTTGTTGTTTTGATTTCAGTTCGATGAGCGATATGTTGGCAAAACAAGCAATAGGATATGGAAAATAAATTATTTAATGTAAAATATATTTATGTATTGAAAACATAGAATACCCAATATCCATGGATATATTTATACTTGAACCACAGGTTTAGGGCAATTTAAGGGTTTTTTTTTTTTAAATAGTGGTAGCGGCACCAACATTGACAAAATTTGTGTTTACAGGCCCAGGCCTAGTACTTTAAATCAGTGATAAGACTTCAAAAATTATGCCTTAACAATTGGCTAATTATAAAGAAAAAATCGATGATTTATCCAGCTTTTCATGGGTGTCGTTATAGTCACAAAGTACCAAATCTTTTTCGAATATACATATGTATTTGAGATAGGATTTTTAATTTGCAATTATGTTGCTATTACGAAACCCAAAACTCATTACAATTTCTGTGCAGACATTTATACATATATCTTTCCTATAATTGTAGCGTGAGAGTGTGCTATTGATCTTTTCTTACTGGGCCAGCAATAAACACCTGAAATTTTTTTATTTTCTTTCCTTGCAGTTGACCGTAGCTACATCTACAGAGATTTATATACGTAATAAAAAATTGCTTTAAAAATTCAATGATATGTTTTCACCATTAAATTATTATTATTTAATAAATATTTAGTACAAAATTAAAAGAAGTCTTAGGTATGGAGCCGGTGGTTCAATGTTGGCAGTAGAATCTCTAAAATTAACAAAACCTTAGAATTTATCGCGCGCTAATTTATAGTTTAAAAGTTATTAACATTTAAAGTTACACGTCTATATACGGATAGTCTGCTTGTGTTGTATACAACTGTGTGCGTAATAATAACAGTGGCTAATGGAAATTTAAGTCGTGATTTTCTTACATGTAAATAATACTAGTTATTTAAATTTGTCTATGCCAGAATGTAAGCCCGAATACTACTACCCTGTATTTAAATTACTTTGAGCTAAATCTTGCCGTGGACTCGTCCACAATTAGAAAAAAGTCGATAGCAGCCAAACTTTTTGTGAGGAGTCCAATGCGAGTTTTATTACTTCAACACCGACAAGATCACAGGCAAATGACCAGTCCAGAAATGCCGTAATATTTAATGATCAGACGGAACAAAAATTGTTTTCTTTTGGATCTAAGAGATGTCGACAATATGGGCAAAGGTCAGAAAATGTTTAATTTTACCCCGTATACGTTCCGGGACCATGCTACCACTTGCTGAGTGTAAGATGCCGCTGAAATGGTTTTATCAACAAGATAACGTCCAAGAGCATACCAGCAGCTTTGCAAAAAGTTGGTTTGCTTCAAATGGGGTTGAGGTCGTGACCTGGTCGGCTTAGTCTACTGACCTTAATCCTATTTAGAATCATTCACTAGATATAAAGGAGGAGGTAGGGAAAGAGAATATCTCATATGAAAAAAATGAATGCATGGAAGGTTATTCCTCCAGAGAAAAGTAGGTCCATTTTAAAAAGAAATTTATTCTAATATTTAAAAAACCATGTATTTACGGAAATAGCTCTTCCAGCGTTAAAAACTAAAATTTTCAAGTTTGACCTGAATTCGTTCACACAACTCGGCTATTTTACTGGCACTGCTATTTTAAATCACAGTAAAATACAATAGTACCGCGTATCAAACAAAGGAACGGGATTTCAGAAATTAATTAAATTAATTAATTAATTAAATTTAAATTACGGGTATTATTTAAATATAAAGAAATCATTACATAAATTTCAATTAACTACTGCTATTATTACTGTTGTACATAATCACCCTAACAACCCTAAGCTAGGCAGGCATAGCAACTCTATTAAACAATCTATGAAAATTAACAATAAAGATTGTGTGAAAATAAAAGAGTTTTAAGAAAAAAACTGCAAGGCGAAGCCGCATTTGGTCCAGCATATTATTCTTTTATTAAAGATACGTAATCTTTATCTCAGTAACATTTTCCAACGATGCCACTATGGTGAAATTATAGTTGGGTGTAATTGAATAATAACTTGGAGTATAATTTATACGCTTATAACTTACTTCACCTTTTATAATTTACTTAAAACCAAAATTTAACGAAAATAATGGAAATTATATCTGACTAGCTAATCCTTAAGTTAATAGATATTTTTTAATCGAAAAAATGTTTAGCGTCGCAGAAATGTTAGTATTTACTGTCAACGTAGTTTTTTGTGTGGTAAAGTAAATATTTACTACAACTTCTTCATTAAAATTGAACACTTCACGTAATTTTTTTTAAATAAGTTAAATCACATGTCGGCTTGGCTTCTTGTTTTTTTTTGTCAGAAAAGCTAATTTTCACACTTTTGTTTTTACTAGGTACAATTAAAGGTAAATTCTGTTAAAAATTAAAAAACGCACAACTTCAAAATTAAAAAAAAACTAACAAAGGAATGCTTTTTCTGTATGGTTCAAGGCTTGGTGAAAAATTAGTTATAGGGGGTTCCACCCTCTCTTAGACACCGAAAGTCGAACCTATTATTTTGTGCATAAAGCAATTACTTTGATTTTTGGCGTTGTAACATATAAAAAAGAAAATTTAAAACAAAACAACTAGAATACAATTTTTAGATCGGTTTCGCTTTGCGCAGTATTTTAAAGCAAAACTGCTTTGTAAGTTGGCGTCCTTCGGTTCGCCTTATGATTTCAACCCTAAGAAACACCGCGTTCGCCTTGCACGGTATTTGACGGCGTTTCTTTAATGAAGTATTAAAATGTGTTTTTTAAATTATTATCTGTACAAACAACCCTGTACAGTTGTGTGTTTTTATTTTTATGTCTTATGATAACACACACTTATTGCTATTACCGGACATTTGTCTTGCAAATCGTTTCAAAATAATATACAAAAATATATTATTTTACTGCTGACCAAATACAATATGTGCACGTGCTAAGAAAAAATTTGTGATGAAAATGTAAATATTTTAACAACAAACTATTTATATTTTAGCAATACTTATGTTTAAAATATAAGAAACATTAGATCAACAGCAACAACTGCTGCAAATTTCATTAGGATCTGCCAATTAGTTTGGCTAAAACAAGTATTCGTACCCTAAGGGAAAGCACAGGTAAATTAATTTGTTGGGTTTCGATCTTGTAGTTTGGGTTGCCAAGAAAACATAACCGAGGTTCAAAGGTTATGTATATTTAAGTGACTAAGTTTCATATCATATTATCTTTGCTTTAAACTATATATTTGTGCGCGATAAAATTTACATTCTGCCGCCGACCCTGTAAATAGTTACCATTTTTATATACAGGGAGTATGCTTGTATTTTAGTTATAAATACACTAACAACACTTGGCTAGAGAGGCGCTGCCACTTAAATAATCTACACATTAACCATAAATAGGTAGAAAAATGAAATAAGTAAGGAAAATGAATATTGCACTCAAATAAAAAAATAACCCTAGGCCGGACCAACGCCGGCTTCGTCTTGCAAAGTATTCTTAAGTTGAATTTCTTTGTAAATTGGAGCCCTTCCTTTTCAAAATTAAACGTTTTATAATTTACGAATATCTACGAAAATAAAAGTTTGTTCCAAACAAAATTTATATCGTTTTATTGGTTCAACATTAACGGTCTGAATTCTGGACTTGTTCCAAATTCAGTAACAATTGTTACTGCCCATCAGGTAACTGGACGAAATTAGTGTAAAGAGTTAATAAATATTAAGGTGCTGTCTGACAGCAGTTTAATTCAATTTTTATTTAATTAACTAATTATGCTGTCAAAAAATTTTATATTCGTCGTGCAACTACCCTTAAATTAATACTACATTTATAATTTATCTTGAAATTGCTCTCAAATGATTTCAGCATTGTCAAAAAAGATTTCTGATAAATTATTAACGATATATGTATATATGTATGTATAGTTTTTATGAGGTAAAGGCCTACAAATAGTTTCATCTTATGTATAAAAATGTTCTAATTTTGATTTTGAAATATTTGGACAATCTTATCAATTAGAAATAACCGGAAAATGAGCCAATAAAGGTTTTGTTGATAGCGACATAGTTTTTTGCTTAGATTAATAAGAACACTGCCATAGGTAAAGCTAGCCGAAGCAAGGAAATTGTCTCTTTCTATAGATGTTTACTGCGGGGATATTGGGAGTGACAGTCCTTGATTCCGGGCCTGTCTCAGTAATTATTGTATTTCACTCGCCTCTTGCACTAGACATGGCTTACCGCGGATAAATTCTTGAACTCTACTAGCTGAGTTGGTTAATTGCGGTGGTTTCTATCGAACCGGTTTTCAGAACATTTCAATTTCATGTTCGAAATCAAAATGAAGTGGAAATGAATGAAGTGTGCACAAGCAGAAAACCAAAAAGTCATCTTAAGTGAAATGCGGAACACGCCTTTATGGCATATCTTTCCAGTAATTGAATTAGATACGAAAATTTTTGAAAAATTTTGGATTGGCCGAATTTCTAAAATAGAAAGAAAAACTTACATCTTAACCGCCATGTTCTCATACAAATATGTCTCACGCAAATGTAATTGCTTAATTTTTAAAAAATTTTAGCTATCTAGTATCGCTGGTTCTTTATTCGCTGAACTCTATCAATGTCGCAGCAAAGATAATATGATACGAAACTCGTGAGAGCGCCGAAAAGTGTGCATTTTCAAACCTTGCCACTGCAGTAAAAATATACTTGGGTATAATTGAATAAAAATTTTGAGTACAATTTCTGCCCTTATAATTAATTATTAAATTTACTGCATACTCTCAAGACCCAATTTTAATGAAAATAATGGAAATTTTATCCGACCAGCTAATCCTTAACTTTATAGATATATTTAAATCCACTATTATTGTCACATATCTACATAGAATCTTTTTTTTAATAAAAAAGTTAAACCTCTCAAGAAATGTTAATGTTTACTGTCTAAGCAATATTTTTGTGTGTTAATAAATATTTTTCCTAACTATTTACTACTATTTATTCAAAAAAATTGCCTCTTAAATTTTGCATTGTGTACTCTACCTAATATATTTTGAAAGAATTTGAACAATGTGTAGGCTGGGGGTTTTGTTCTTTCGCTAGCAATACTAATTTGCACACTTTTGTTATAACTGGGTATAAATAAAGCAAACTTCTGTTGAAAATTAAAAATAAAAAAAATACTAACTAACATTAAAATTAGTTTTTAGCGAATTGTGAATGGCAGCTCACATTTATTACTCACAGATGACTGTTGGGCCTCGATCTTGTAGTTTGAGGTGGCAACAAAACCGAATCGAGGCCCAAAGATAATAGATAAGTGAGTAAGTTTCGTATCATATTATCTTTGTTATCTTTGCGCCCTCACCATACAACAGGACGGGAACGATGAGCGACTTGCAGACTTTACATTTCTTTTTTGTCTAAAAATCCGTCTTGTTACCCTCTTCAGCTCTCGATATTTATCCCACTCCGCAAGTGTTCTGGTCGATCGCAAGATTGCTATGTAGACAGCTTGTTTTCTCTCCACTGTGTTTGTGACCTTTTTGAAAACTCAAATGTTTTCTCCAGCTGTGCTTGAAATGCTCTCCCTCAGCTCCCTTATCCCGAGTTGCTGATGAATGCTCTCAGAGAGCAGATGTGCAAGTCAAGTCCGGATGTGATTACAGCTTTTCAGCGTCGAACTTATCTTGGGTTTTTTTTGACGGTCGCACATCAAGAATATTCTATACATGCCGTCCGTCTATTATGACATGATCGATCTGATACAATGAACACAATTAATAAATTTACAATGCCCGTTTTTTAATATAAGAACATATATAAAAAGAGTTTAAAAAAAGAAAAAAAAAACAAAAAACTTTAAATTTATTGGATGCAAATGTAGGAGCATATCAGACATGGGTGCTTGTACACCGGAACTAGTAGCACATACCGGTATTGAAGCAATACTGCAAAAAATTGTATTGTTTGCTTACTCGTTTTCTGTTTTTTTTTCATGATGACTAAACTGTGCTGTAAATTTTGCTTAGGTATTTTTGACATACAAACAAGCAACGTACATAATTTGATTTTTAAAAACAACCGTAAAATGAGTGAGATTTTAACTCATTTTTCGCAGGATTATTTCCTTACCGCTTTTGTTTCATTTGATTGCTTTCTTGTTTCGATTACTTAACACTTGGTTGCTTCACAGACAGACTTATTTTGAAAGATCTAGAAGTTACAGACCAATATCCAAACTCTCTAATTGCTCTAGGCTATTGGAAGAGGTTGTTAATAGTTGTTTTTCGCTATCCAAAGTATTTCAGACCCACACCAGCACGTCTTTATAGGTGGCCATTCTACAGTCAGTGCTTTCCCAATATTGTATCTCAGCTTTTACGTCTGGCTGGCAAGTAGAATTCTCTAAAACTCTTGACTCGGTCTCTAAATTGTGCTACGGAGACTAGTGGCTAGGTTTTCATTCAAGTTTTTTTCTCATGATTGATATGGATATTTTTGGCCCCATTCAATGTTCACTATTTATTAATGATATTGTGATTTGCTTTAAGCACGTGAAATTTCTACTTTATGCTGATGACTTAAAGCTATTCAGCAAAATACCTTGTACATCTGATATTAATTTAATACAACAAAATCTAAATAACTTAATTTCTTGGAGCATCCAAAACGAACGCTTTCATAATATTAAGAAACGCTTCCATGTTACTTTTTCGAATCTGAATTCATTTATCTTTCTATTGTGAACCATTTCAAAGTTAAAGAATACTCTGATCTTGGAATCACTTAACTGGTTTTTTCTTTGTTAATCATAGATAGAGATATAAGAGGATATGCACCGCGACCGGTGGTCTATTGTGCCCTCTGATTTCTTCACATTACTTCAACCAGACCTAATGCCCTTATAAAACTAATCAGGTTAGAAGGGCTAATAGGTTTAATGTGGTTCTCCTTCGGCTGAAAGGCTCCTAGGTGTTTGTGCCTTCTTCTTGCGACAGCTCCGCATTCAAATATATTGGGTTGCCCAAAAAGTAATTGCGGATTTTTTAAAAGAAAGTAAATACATTTTTAATCAAATATATAATTGCCATTTTGTTCGATAACCTTTTGCCATCTTCCTGGCAAATTTAGTATTCCACGCTCATAGAACTTGTGGCCTTTATCTGCAAAAAACTGAACCAAGTGAGATTTTATAGCCTCATCATTGCCGAAAGTTTTACCATTTAAGGAGTTCTGCAAAGATCGAGATGAATGGTAGTCTGATGGTGCAAGGTCAGGGCTATATGGTGGATGCATCAAAAGTTCCCAGCCAAGCTCACTCAGTTTTTGGCGAGTGACCAAAGATGTGTGCGGTCTAGCGTTGTCCTGGTGGATTATGACACCTTTACGATTGACAAATTCAGGTCGCTTCTTCTTGATGGCTGTATTCAATTTGTCCAATTGTTGACAGTAAACATCCGAATTAATCGTTTGGTTCCTTGGAAGCAGCTCAAAATATACGACACCCTTCCAATCCCACCAAACAGACAGCATAACCTTATTTTGGTGGATATCAGCCTTTGAAGTGGTTTGAGCTGGTTCACCATGCTTGGACCATGATCGTTTTCGACTAATGTTGTTGTAAGTAATCCCTTTTTCATCTCCAGTTATGATTCGTTTTAAAAACGGATCGAATTCATTGCGTTTAAGGTGCATATCACAAGCGTTGATTCGGTGTGTTAAATGAATTTCTTTCAATACATCCCACCCTGGAATATAATAAGGTATATACCCATAGGAATCGATATTGTGGTTCTTGATCCAGTGACTCACGCACCTATTTCGTCAGTAGTATTGGAGCCATCTGTGTACCTCACAAGAGAGTACGGCCTCTAGTGCTACTGTGGGGCATGTCCTCATACACCCAGTTATACAGACGCAGTCTAGTCTTTGCAGCTTAGTTAGTGCAGCCTTGCGCCATATGTTATTGTTGGTTTTACTATCATTGTATACTTCCCGCGCAGTATTTTGTATGTTTCCCCTGCTAATCTTCTGCATACCATTATTGATCTTGTCGCTTTACTTATCATATACTCCATGTGTCTATTCCATGTTACTTTAGCATCAGAGATCACCCCCAGATATTTCGTCTCACTGGTAGGCTCTATTACTACATTGTTTAGTTTTACGTCTTTTAAACCTAATTTTTTTCCCTTGTAAACACGACTTTATTGCTGTTTTATTTGGGTCAATGCTCAGCCCTGCCTTTAAGCACCAGTTCCTTGTTAGTTTGAGTTCTCTCTGTATGATATCACACAGTGTGCTCTCGAATTCGCCTATTGCTATTATTACAATGTTATCAGCATACCCTTGACATTTTATGCCAATGTCTATAAGGGGTTCTAGCAGGTCGTCTACTACCAGGCTCCAAAGGAGTGTTGATATTACTCATCCTTGGAGTCAACCTTTTGTGGTCTTCATGAAGTTGTTCAAATTCGGCATAGGTTCTTTTACTCTTTCTTTACAAAGTGCTTTGTCGACTGCTCCAATTTTAATAAAACGTTGCACTTTTCTTCAATTACGGTTTGTGAATAAACAAATTAGCTTTCAACGAAAATATTTATCTATGCCTTTATACCAATAACTAAAATAGTGAGTTTTAATCTACCTTCCAGCATGAAACATTATAGTCCCATTTGCGAAATTTCGACTCCTATTCATCGGTCTATTCTTGCGGGTCGTATTATATTTAGGATTTAAGTTTTTAATTGTACACTACTTATTGGAAAATATATTTTGTTTGTTTATTATATAAATTTTTTCTTTTGTTTATTACAGTCCAAGGAACCAAAATGCTGTAGATTATTAAGAATCAGAGAAGCCGATTATAATACAACGCTGCCAAAAGAAAGGTTTACATGTTTTTTATGTGACACTCGCCAATTTCATAATTCTAATAAAACCGGTGAACAACATAGCCATCCCTACATACTAAAGAATCTAAATCACTATAACTGTAGTAACGACGATCTAAAGAACTACGGCAATAATCATAGATTCCAGCAATACCAACATAATTGCGATCATTTTTTGCAACAGCACCAAGAACTACACCAGTTACGTGAAAGAATATTACCTAAATAAACTACGGTATTTGCACGATTTTCGGCAACTCTACCATTATTACCATCAGCGCGTCGGGTTATCGCTACCTGTTCTGCCAGGTCTTCAACTTCAACTACAGTCACAGAAAGTAGGACCTGTTGAGACAGTGCAGCATACAGTATTAACGCTGTTGCCGTCTCAGCAACATCATCAGCCTTTGACGGCAACATTGTCACCATCATCGTCGGCGCTGATTAACAGCGGTGCGGAAAGCGCTTGCACCGCTGTCGCTTCAGTTGCAACTCCTCCTTCTGAATCTGTGCCAGCCCCTGCGACGTCTGCTGCTGTCATCGCCGCATCTAGTTCACCACCTTGTAACCAGCCGCAGCAACCATTCACCCTGTTACAACACTCACAAATGTCCAATAAGCTGAATCCGAAACGCCGCGAAGGTCCAATCGCTACCGGAACCGGTACACCATCAGCCGGTAATACAGCCGCCAACACATCCTCCTCATCCAGTTCATCACTGTCATCTGCCGGTGGCGGTGATGGTGGCATGTCGGCCGACTTAACTTCTTTATTCGAGTGCCCAGTATGCTTTGACTACGTCTTGCCACCAATATTGCAGTGTTCGAGCGGTCATCTAGTGTGTGTATCATGTCGCTCAAAACTCACCTGCTGCCCAACATGTCGCGGTCCATTGGCCAACATACGTAATTTGGCAATGGAAAAAGTCGCTTCTAATGTAAAATTTCCTTGTAAACACTCAGGTTATGGCTGTACAGCTTCACTTGTATACACCGAAAAAACAGAACACGAGGAGACATGTGAATGTCGACCATACCTGTGCCCATGTCCGGGAGCATCATGTAAATGGCAAGGACCACTAGACCTGGTCATGCAGCATTTAATGATGTCACATAAAAGCATTACTACGCTACAGGGTGAAGATATAGTCTTTCTAGCTACTGATATCAATTTACCAGGTGCCGTCGACTGGGTTATGATGCAGTCGTGTTTCGGTCACCACTTTATGTTGGTGCTTGAAAAGCAAGAAAAATACGATGGTCACCAGCAGTTCTTCGCTATTGTTCAGTTAATTGGCTCGCGAAAAGAAGCCGAGAATTTCGTATATCGTTTAGAGTTGAATGGCAATCGTAGACGCTTGACTTGGGAAGCTATGCCTCGCTCCATTCATGAAGGCGTTGCTTCTGCCATTCACAACTCGGATTGCCTGGTGTTTGATACATCTATAGCACAACTTTTTGCAGACAATGGAAACCTTGGTATTAATGTAACAATTTCAATTGTCTAAAAAGGACTTTTACATACGCATTCACCTATACGGACACATTGACATAGAGAGAGAGAGCGAAGACAAGGACATGGAACTTTTTTATAGGAGATAGACCGTGAAAATAGGTGAAGGATAAATATAATATGAAAAATCCAAAAGTTGGGTACCAGTAAAAGATTATTCATAATTACATATTGATAAATGTGATTCAAACATGTATAGAAATAACATTTCAAAATAAATATTGTTAACAAATTAGCAGAACTTAATTCATTTGCAATTCGGCATAAATCTCTGTCTACATAAAGACAGATAGATTGTCTGTTGAGAACCATGATGCAATAAAAAATGGAGGAAGATAAGGAGTACGGAGGAAGGTGCTTAAATTCTAGTGAAGGGCAGAAATTTCGTATGCGCTTTCATTAATTCACCATGTTTTCTATTCCGAAACAGATATACTGCAAAATTTACTACCAACTAAACGTTAGTTTTTTTTTTAATTTGGTTAAAAAAAGCAACGAAAGAAGCAAATAGCTTTTAATCTGATATGAAAGCTATCAAACTAAAAAAATTCTGAGATCCAAAAAGTTCGATTTTTTATTTGTATCGACTTCAGCCTATATTATGTTTATAAGTATACGAGCATAGTATATACTTATATATAGCGGGCGTAATGTAAATTTTAGGATCAATTAGGTATATCAATATCTATCTTAAAGATTGAAGCTCACATTTTACCAACAGTTGGGAGATTATCTTGTGTTTTAAAATTTGTAAATACACAATTCAACGGACATTCTATATGCGCAGAAAGTTAAATAAAAAATTGTATACATCTGATTAGACTATTTAAAAGCCCCCTTGGAAAGTGCGACTAATTTTCGCTATTGCACAAACAGCTCAGCATGTAGGACTTTGGAATTTTAGAAAATGGCAATCTATTTTGGGATTAACATCACCACAAACAACTATGCCAACTTTTAAATCCAAGCATAACCACTTATGTATAACCAGTACAGCTTCTGACTGAGTAAGCAATTGAAAAGCAAAGCGCTCTCTGAACGAATAAATATCGATGCAAACTATAAGAAACATGCCTTCGCTTGCTCTCTGAAAATATAGTCTATAGCAATAGCGTGTTTAAAAACTTTCCATGGTGTCATCCACACCGACGGGCCTATCTATGTACATAGATTAGAGTTTTAAGCTATTTGAAATTATTTTTATTTAAATTTAATAAAAAATGGTATTTACATTTACATAAGTTGTATGATTTTTTTCTAAAATTTAATTTCTGCTAAATGCAAATGATATAATATGAATTAGAGGTTTGGGTGTTGTTCTAAAGTCTGTGAATGGAGAAATAAACATCCCATTCTTCCAAAAAGGACAAAAAGCTAGTATTACAATTGCAATAAAAATTCGTTTATCAGAAAATCATCATCTCGAAATTGTCATATTTTCTTTCCTAAATATATATATAAACGACCCGTATAAAGATTCTTTATGAGAAAAGAAATATAGCCAGGAAGACATTTGTAGTGTGTGGGAGTTCCAAAACGTGAGTTGCTAAGAAACTATATATTGTCACGCATTCCCAAATGCAACAGAGCAAAATGCATCGGTGCAGTTAGTTAAGGTTCGTGGTGCTATATTTTATAATAAATTCTTAGTAACAACGGCCGACGTCGGATGGCAAGTTTTTTTAAACATTATATTACTTATTTTTTTGATCTGTTATATATTCTGACGTTTTGGAACTCGCCCTGTATTTGTGTAATGACTGCGCTAGAAGCTCCTAAGTGGATCTCACCAAAGTTTTTTTTACTAAACATATATTCAGCATAGCTGTCAATGCAATTTCTATAAACCTAGTGAGTGTCCACCAAAGATTTAAAAAGGACTTTTAGTTTAGACTAGCCTTAATAATGGCTTTTATGACTTGTTTTCCATTTTTATTTAGATACATATGTATGTGTATTTTGTTCGTTTCGATTTTTCAGGATAGTGTGTTTCTGTAAAAATAGAGTAAATTAAAATTGAACCAGAAGAATGTAACTTAAAAGAAGAAAGGAGTAAAAACGTAAAAACACTGACGTCACTTACAACGATTTTCCGTTACTTAATTAGAGCGAGATGACAAAAATGTAGGTTCTGAGTTCTCTATCGTATTATAACGATTTTCGTATCGTTAAAATGACAACGAATTTCGGATTGCAAAGAAGACTTAGCGATAATTCTAACGATTTTAATATTCGGTGTATTTATTTTACGATATTCGCTCTCACTGTTGTCGTAAACTATTCGACAAATCGCTAACTAAGCGACGAATATTTTTAAGTTGCTCGCGATATCGACAAAATATTGTTATTTCATTTAAGAAAGTAAAGTGTCCGGGAAATTGCCTAAGCTATAAAAAAATAAGATTAAAAAATTAAAATAAATGGCTTTTGAATATTTGGCATACGATTTTCATGTGGATGCTACCGAGTTTCGAAAGCTATATAGATTAATGCCGGATTTAGTTGAAGAAATCGTTTCTCAACTAGATTGTCAACTAAAAGGCAGAAAATAACAGTATTATCTATGATTTCTCCAGGTAATAATATAAGTTTAAATATTTTTTCAGTTTTTATGCTATTGAAATGTTGAATAGTTCTAACCGCCTGGCGATTCTTTTATACTGAATGCTACCAACGTCCCATCGGAGAGCAATATGAAATACACATGAGTCAGTCGTCAGTAAGCCATTGTGTTCATCGCGTGGCAGAAGAAGTCAACCGTTAGATTTTTGCTACGAAGGTTAGATCTCTCATTATGTCGCCAGGTTGTTGGAGGCGCTATGTCATGATGATGATGGATATCATGGATACCATTTTATCAATGTGCAAATGTTGAGAGTATTTTTTTTTTTAATTACCATTGTACTAATACAGCTCATTATATTTGCTCAAAGTTATCTCAGGCTTTGGCGGCAAATGTTAAGTGCCCAAGAACACAGCACAATTATTTTATTTGGAGCTCTTCTATAGAACGAAGAGTCATGCCGCGTAGTTTTAAAAGTTCAAACCATAACATGTTTTTGATTTGATAAATTTTGTAATGCATTGATACTCATTTAATAAAAATAATTTGTATAACGAATTTGTTTGTTATTGTCATTCCTCTTTGAGCTTTTTACATATTTTGACCTTTTGTTAAGGTGTGGTGCCACATTTCCTTCATTCTAAAAAAAAAGGAAATGTCCGTTGTCGATTATCGTACAAACTGAGTTAGAGAATCGCATAATCGTGTGATAAAAGTTACGGAATTGCACTGCTGATGCTAACATTTGTGACATTAGTTCTGTTCATTGGTCATTCTTGGTTTTTATTTGAACATCATCGAATAAACTCTATAATGATGTTGAGATAATATCGCCGGTTTACGCGGAAAAAGAATTTCAAATTGGTTTTCGTATTCAAGTCAACCTTCCTGAAAGCTTAAACGACAAGTTGTTAAAAAGCAAGATATATATACATTTTCGACCTTTTTGAGGACTGTTAGAAAAATATATTGGTAACTTTGACATTGGACGGCTATAAAGCATGTAGAATTTCGTCATTGTTGAAATACAATACATTTTAAATACAATTAATATACTTAAAATACTATATATAATTGGCGCTTTGTAACCGCTGAAGCGGTTTCGATCGGGCTCCTCCTCCAATTGGTGGTTTTGCGTCCTGATGTTTTTAAACATATGCAGGGATATACAGTTTATAATAAGCCGCCTCGGAACGGCTAATGGGTTTTTTACGACAAAACCTTACTTCATGTCCGAAATACGCTCGGAGGGTTGGATATTGGAACGCAATTAGAAAATTTGACTAAATTTTTATTATTATTATTATTTAAATTAGTTTTCTATAACTTTTGGATGTTGGTGGCAGTGGGTTTTGAACCCGAGCCTTGCAATGCTAACCACTCGCCTATCGCGGCCGCTATATAGTTGCCAATTCTATTACAATACTTAAAAGCAGAAAAGAAAAACTGTATAAATGAACGGATTATAATTTAACCGCAAAAATAAACAACTGTTATACAACTTAGGCTGCAACTACCCAACGCGCGTACCAGCCGTCCATAGTAACCTATCTTATGAGAGCGCCATGTAAACACAAAGTTGTCACCGCTTTCCCATAGCGCTGCTGACGTTTGTGTCGCAGAAACCAACGAAGTTTTGATTTTTTCCGTAAAACCGGCTCGGCTCATTTTTCGTTGCTATACAAGGTTGCCAGTATAGGCTGCAACTACCCAACTCACTCTCCAGCCGTCCATAACTGACGACGTTAGTAGTGAAATACATACACGAGCTATCGACGCCGCTGAGAGCGGCGAAATGTTGCCAGCTGCCTGTGTGTTTGCACACTTTTGAACAAATTCATAATTTTCGTCAACGAATTTCATAATTTATTTGCTTTAACATAAACACAAGGCAAATATACATGATCTATATAGTAACAAATAATTAGTTACGCATTTAGTTTTCATTTCTTTTGAACAAAACTACGCATTATCTTCGATTATTTAATGTTACTTTAAGAAAGGCTATACTGGCAACCTTGTATAGCAACGAAAAATGAGCCGAGCCGGTTTTACGGAAAAATCAAAACTTCGTTGGTTTCTGCGACACAAACGTCAGCAACGCTATGGTAAATCGGTGACAACTTTGTGTTTACATGGCGCTCTCATAAGATAGGTTACTATGGACGGCTGGTACGCGCGTTGGGTAGTTGCAGCCATAGCCTTTCTTAAAGTAACATTGAATGATCGAAGAAAATGCGTAGTTTTGTTCAAAAGAAATGAAAAATAAATGCGTAACTAATTATTTGTTACCATATAGATTATGTATATTTGCCTTGTGTTTATGTTCAAGCAAATAAATTATGAAATTTGTTGACGAAAATTATAAATGGGTTCGAAAGTGTGCAAACACACAGGCAGCTGGCAACATTTCTCCGCTATCAGCGGCGTCGATAACTCGTGTATGTATTTCACTGCTGACGTCGTCAGTTATGGACGGCTGGTGAGTGAAATGGGTAGTTGCAGCCTGAGTTTAGTGCTTGAACTGTCATTTATTTTTGGCTTGTCACTTTCTAACCGCTGAAGCGATCATTGCTGCCAGTCGCTAATAGTGAAAAACATGTAAATTCAACTCAAACACGCTTTGAAAAGTGAGTTTGTGTTATGAGATATATATGGAATTTGGCAAGTTTTTTT